GTGCCCAGCTACGAGCCGAACAAGTTCAAGTCTTCATGCGTGGAACGACCAGTGCAGAACTAGATGGAGGCAGTAAAGCCCGGACAGCTCGACCATGTCGGCCGTCACCTCTGGAGTTGCACAAAACCTCGTTGCTGGGAACTTCTGCCAACTACGGCAGGAATGCCTTCACAGCCATGACTGCTTATGCTACATGATGGTCTGAGTGATCCACTCTTCCTGAGGCGCATCGCCTCAAGTCAGATGAAAATGATGAAATGCCACATAGCATTCAAAATCTCTGATGCTTTCGTCCTTAGCACGCGGCTCCCGGGAGTGGAGGAGCTCGCGCTGCCAGATCTGGAGCCTTGGCGCAGCGGAAGCAGTAATGAAAATGTGCACGGCTGATCAGACAAATCCAAAGAAGATATCCTTGAAGATGATGTGTTAGCAGGTCCAGCACGAGTTTCTTTGCAGGTAAGGGCGCCGCTCCAATACTCGGGATAAGGTACCTGCCACTTTCCCTGTGGACTTCTCACATTTTTGAGAGCAGACACATTGCAGGAGACGATGCCCGGACAACTTCATTGATGTGCCGGGCAAACTCTCCCTGAAGAAAAAAATGTGAACTTTCTTGGGCATGTGGGATTTTTGCAGAATCCACTGGTGACGAATGCAGCACATGCTTGCAGTGCTTGCGTAAACGTGCCACAAGGGCCGCAGCAACACCAGACGCCGCAGATGCCTGGGTGGATGGAAGACGCCATCAGCTGCATGCTGGTCATTGCTGGTCATTGCTGGTCTTGTCACGATTGGGGCCCAGACATGCAGCTTCTTCTTGTGTCCGCAGCGGCACATCCTAGGCGGCTTTGTAATCAAGAAGGGACGCACATGACAAAACCATCTGGAAGAAGACCGCACGATTTGCCAGTTCTCATGTTACCAATAAGGGCCACACTCCTTCCCACCAGGACCAACTGCTGTGTCCCAATCTTCCTGGTCTGGGTGTGAGAAGCCTGGCGCATTGGCTTTGCAGTGGCATAACTTTCTCGGCTTGAAGTGCCTCGGAAATCTGGATCGGCCCCATATCTAACACTAGCGTGGCTACTACTACTACTACTACTACTGCTACTACTACTACTACTACTACTACTACTACTACTACTACTACTACTACTGCTACTACTACTACTACTTCTACTACTTCTACTTCTACTTCTACTTCTACTTGTACTTCTACTTCTACTACTACATGCTACTACTACTACGACGACTACTACGACGACGACGACGACGAGGAAGAGGAGGAGGAGTACGACGAGTACTACTAGTAGTAGCAGTGGATCCAGAAAAAAGAACTACTAGTACTAGTAGTACTAGTATTTACATGCAACATCCGAACAATAGTGCTGATCCCAGATCCGGGTTCCGGATCCGAGTCAAGAAGCAACCTGTTAGTTTGGCAATCGCGTGCGATTTGCTGCTGATGGTAACAATCGCATGCCAGCATCACTGGTGCGGTGCTCCTCGTTCCTCTGGTAACACTCAGCGCCTTAAACTGATTTGCGAGCACGGTGGGATGTGCAGGGGGCAGCAGGAGCAGCAGCAGTGCCCTCACTCAGCCGCGGTCCATACTTGCAGCGGCGCCGCTGCATGACAAAGTTGAGGCACTGGCAGTCAAACACCTGGGAGGAAGCACATGTCACGAGCATCCAAACAAATGCTGCGGCACTTCCAAGGAACTTACACAATCAAGAAAACTCTGCCGTTCACCGCTGAAGAAGATACAGCCCCGAAACCGACACTTGTGGCCTTGGGTTGCGTGTGGGTTTTCTGTTTTCACTGCTTGGCCAGGCCAGGGAGGGGGAGAAGACAGAGATGGAAAGGGAGAGAGGGGCAGAGAGAGTGAGAGAGAGAGAGAGAGAAAGAAGATGAAAGAAGTAAAGAAAGAAAGAACGAAAGAAAGACAGAGGTGCACGGTGCAGGCAAGCCGTGCCGCACCGTTGTAGTTGGAGGCGCCCGAGGCTGGAACGCCGCATTTTAAATCGCTTTCCCCCGCGGCGTTGCCGAGCAAGTCATCCAAGCCCAGCGGCAGATCTCAGATGGCACTTTCAGATCGAATGAATTCAAGGGCCATGCCGAGGCATTGCAAAAAGCTATTTGTTCTGCCAGCTTTGTTCAGATAGGGCCCGGACTAATCTTGATCTTCGTAGTAAACTCTGCAAACTCACCAAAGTTGATGTAACCTTCGGGCGCGAGTGTATGCAACCGATCAGGGTTCCGCCAACGAATAGCCTGCGTCTGTGGGCTGGGCCATTTCCATCATCATCCAGCGAATTCCAAAGCTCATCAGTCAAAGGCCCGACCTGGGCACTGGTCGTTAAGGCTGGCGGCATTGCCTGCCTGAGATTTTAGGAGAATGTTTTCTTAGTGAGAGACTTCATGGCATGGACACCGCAGCTGAACTCGTAGCTGAACTGTGCACCGCGCCCCCTTTGCAAGCATCTGAATCTCGGGCCAAACCTGAGCATCGAATCAATATTCTGTGCATGCTCTGCTGATTCAAGCTTCCCAAGTCTTCCATATCCCTTCCATATTGTTCCCCCATATGAAAAAATTGAGCACCTCGCATGGCTTTCAAGCCGCTCACCTCGAGAAGGCGCACACGAACGCACGAAGCACCATGAATTTGACCACCCACACACACAAAACTAAGATGATGCTGTCGGCTCTCGTGCCAAGCTACGGGTAGCGCGGCCGGTTCCATTGTCGGCATATTCCTTATCATTCGTGCAAACCAATGCAACAATGAAAGTGCAGGAGATATGTCTCTTTGTGTCTCTTTTGAACTTTGGGCTGCTGGCAAATAGCTTCCGAATGCTGCAGAACCTCATGTCAAATTGCCCAAGCTGCCGCTGTAGCCATGCAACAGTCACCGACACCGGTTTCTCCGCATGCGCTGCTCTAAGACGCTATGTGCCATGTCTAGCCTATGGTGGTGCCACACGCCAACCTTCCTTGAGCGCCAGACTCAGGTGTCTTGCCGATCTTTTCACAGCAGTAAAGATAGTCCTTGTGGCTAACATGTCTGGAACGTCTGCAATGCAGAATGCAGCCAAAAACTTAGGGCTGTTTTTTCGTACTTCGTCAATACGCAGACGACGTGCAGAGTAGCCGTCGAAGCTTCGATGTCTGAGGCGGGAGCGTCATCCCAGGGATGCGCCTGTTCCTTCAAGTGCTCCGGATTGCCTGTGCCCATTTCTGGTGTCTGGCATGCATTGCAACTTGAGAACTGAGCCCAGACAGCAACCGGCTGCTGAAGCGGCATCGAGCCGATAGGCCCAAGCAAAAGGATGACTTTGTAACGAAACGGAGTAATGTTAACCTCACATCTATAAATGGGGTGGCAACTGTAATATTCGCCGGGCCAGAGGGGCTCAGCCGAAGACTATACTTTCCATTACGGGAGGTTTTCGGGCCGATGTGTGTAAACAAGTCTATATAGGGGGGTCCGGTGAAAATAATAATGGGGTGACAACAGTAATATTTGGCCGGCCAGGAATCAGAAATTTTACTTGCAGAGAAGACTTTTCGAGCTCCGAGAGCAAGCAGAACCCTTCGAGACCAAGCACAGCAGACCCTGACAGCTAACCCCCCCCAAGACCCCCAGAATCCGCATTATTGGCACCCACTCGTTTTTTTCTACCCCTCCAAACCCCGGGGACCAAAACAAGTTTTGGGGGTTATTAAAGCGACGTTAACATTACGTAATGTCAAAGCCCACCCACCCCGGGGAATTGCGAGACATATCGGGGTGCTAAGGTGCCCGGTGCCCCTCCTGCATCTCCCTCTTTGCTCCTAAATTCCTCCATGTGCGGACCGGTCCAACAAAACCTGTTCATCGAAAGAAAGCTTTCGTGATCATTCCAAAAGCTGGGTGCATGGCGGCGGTAGCACTGCGTACCATAGCTGCACCTGCCACGGGCTCTCATCTTTAAGTAGTGCCCGAAGAAAACCCGTCAGCCGAAAAGTTGGCTGATCGGCTAATGTTCACTTGACCTTCTGCTTTCTGACCCACTTCACAAGCCTGCTAAATTTCCCAAGCTGCTGGCAGCTACATTCACAATCTTGAATCTGCCAAGGTCACACTGACCGCAACCCTCTGGATGTGAACGAGCGCCGCCTCAGGCTTGTTACTGCAGCTGCCACATCTAGTGTATGCGCTCCACTGCAAGATATCTTGACATGCTACGAGTACCCCCTGCGACACTGTTGTGTCTCGGGAGGCTGTAACGCGAAATGAGCCTACTCCGCGAACTATCTCAGACTTGTCTCAGCTTCTCCTGAGCTGTGCACAATACGCTGCGGCTCGCCACATCCATGCCGTTGCCCGCGCGCTCCAGCTCGAAGGAGGCGTGAGAGGTCAGGCCCTAGTGCCACAACAATCGTACAAACGAACTGCTCCAGAGTCATGCCGCGATTTTCACGATTGTCTGGGAAGATTTTGAAATCTGAAACTCCAGAGAACAGGCTGCCTTTCAAACCTTGTGACACGTGAGTATAACTACTCATGATTGCATGCATGCCTGTGTTTCGACGTCTTGTAAATTGAACTTGATACTTCCTGAGCTCGTGTCATGATCTTCCTGAGGGCGAGACCAGCTGCGCGGCCGGAAAGCAGCAGCGCTACATGCTCTACGCAAGGCCTGGAGGTTCGACGTATTTTGGTTCGACATCCTTCTTCCTGGTCTAGTGGAAAATGTGGCTCAAGGCTCGGAAGATGTTTCAACTGTCGTACGGAGCACGCTGCGGTGTGTTACTAGCTGGTTCTGTGCCAGTGCTGCGGATCCTCGTGCAGATACAGGTACATGTGTATGATTGAACGTGATAAAAATCACATTGACCAAGTCACATGCCATCATGCGGAAAGTGCGAGCTTGAGCCTGCGTTTCACAGTTCTCAAAATCTGATCAGCCTTGCTAGTCAGCTAGTCATCGCACGCATGCAAAGCTTGCAAAGGCCTTCCTGTGGAACGTCACCGGCCTGGCAATAAGTTTGCCGCGCTTGAAGCGTAACAGTGTGACATGTGCTCTGGCGCATGCTGAGCCACCGAACTGATTCATGGATCGGCTGCTACGAGTGCGCTGCGGCATGCTTCCGGCACGCCTGCCCCACTGATCCACAGGCAAAGCAGTCCAACCCACACGGTGAAGCATTTCTGCTCTATGGCTTCAGTCGGAAAATGCTGCCACGAGACTTAGACACACGATTTCGCAGCAGAAGATAAAACAGGGGCAGCTGTATCACCGACGAGGTTAAGCTGCCAAACGTGACTCGAGTTGATCTTCTTGACATCGACGATACAAAAAGGGAATTTGGGCACAGGGCCCTTCAGGGTCAAGGCCATGGCGACTTCGCTTTGTTGAGTTGAGGAAGGGCTCGAGTGCGCCAGGGGAGTACCCGCAGTATCTGGGCATTTGTGACCAACCCTGGCTTGCGACGCATGCGGCACCTGGTGCTGCCTCCCTGCGCAAGAGCACGCCCAAGCATGGAGTCCTTGACTGGTCATGCACCGCGGCTGATGCAGCGTGTGCTGGATCAAGCGAGTTAAAATCATTTGGGACCTAGGGCCCGGTGCAGATGCAGTACAATGATCACAGCAACGTGCCGAGTCGGGGATCTGGCTGGTGGGATCGGGCCCAGCGGCACAACAGAACCTCAGGCAGCGACTGTAGTGAGCTCTTCCACACAATTACAAACCTGAGGAGTCCTGAAGCTTCCGGTCGCAAGCCTACAAGCAGCTACAGGATGCTGCAGACTGTTTGCATCCACTGCCCTCCCTGCTCAGGCATGCAGTCGAGTGTGCACTTTTCTCGCTGAAGGTCCCGTCCGACTCCCGAGGGAGGCAGATGGTTTCTATTCCATGTAGTGCAGTTCCCGCTTGAACCTGGACAGCAATCGATGGTGGACATTGCAGTAACTTAGCTACTACCAGCAATCATACTTTTAGACCAGATGCCGGAGGCTCTACAAAAGCAGCAGCTTTGATTTGTGAAGATCGCTTTGGCTGCGTGCATAACTGCCAATCCAGCAGCCGTTCCCGGAAACGTTCCCGTTCTTGCAGGCAGCGAACAGAGGCCTTGGACAAACTCGCTTTGACAAAAGCACCTGCCAGCTTGCTACACACGTGACCTGGCGCTGACCATTATAAATCCATTAAGGCCAGGAAGCCGTGCGCTTTGCGATGGCATCAGGAGATGATCCCCGAAAGTCGCCCCTGCAAGGCGTTGTGAAAGTGTCCAGAATCCGATGCTGCCGCGTTTGCTGCCCGGATTGCCCATGCACATCTTTTGGGAGACCGTACAGACTCATAAATCTACATGTCGTCTCCTGAACTAGGGGCATGGGCGCATGGCCCAGCAATGCCCAGGGCACCCGGAACAGCCGGCAGACGGCCTCTTGAAGTTCAAGTACAGCACATAGCGGGGATGGATATGCCGGTTCGCCATGCCCCAGTGCACCGTCCTCCCAAAGACGATATGACTCATGATCGCAATCTGCACTCAGATCACCGTGTTCCTGGCAGTAAACCCTAGACAAAGCGCCCAGCCAGGCCTGGAGTCGTAGATCAGCGCGTCTCCGACGTCGAACGGAGCACCGACCAGCAATCTGTCGGCGTACCGCCTGCTGTTGAACCAGACGCGCAGTCCTCACCAAGCCAGATGAAGCAGTCAAGCATTGATGCAATTGCAAGCATCCCGCGCGCACACACACACACATTGTATACAAACATACATAGGCACAGATTGAAACATTTGCGCCAAGGACATGTGCAGCATGGCCCAATCGCGCCAATCCCAGTCAAAAGATGCTTGCCAAGTCACTGGACGGCATTGATGCCTGGCCTTGCATTTCAGATCCATCGGCATCTTGCAAGCATTCTGAGTCTCAGTCTCTCTCTCTCTCTCTCTCTCGCTCTCTCGCTCTCTCGCTCTCTCTCTCTCTCTCTCTCTCTGTCTGTTGCCTTTGGAAGCTTCGGGTAGCAGAAGTTGCGGAAGCTCCTGGTGCACGTGTCACGGACAAGCACGACGCTTTGCAATCGTCGTGGAGCAGTCCTCCCCGTCTGCATCTTCTATCACTGGTCTGAGTATCCTGACCATCAAGTTGTCCCTGAGTTCCGGGACATGGTCTTTGACCTGCACAAGCGAAGGTATTCTCGCAAAAACGGCTACATGATCCGTACACCGTACCCGACATGACACGGCACGGTCCTGGCCTCAAGCCAGGTCACGAAGTCCAACTCGTTTACGTGAGTGACCTTTTGCCACTTAAGGTCATGAAGGACGGACGACACTCTGATAATGGTCCTACGAATGTCTTGCAGATACAGTAATTGCTTGGAAGAGATTGATGCTTCCGGTTGGTGGCCTCGTCGCCAGGTTGAATGCCCAACGCCTTCATCGAATCACCACAAAAAGGCGATACAGAGTCCCTGCCTTGGCTTCTGGTGCCAAGGCTTGCAAAACACTTTGGTGCAGTAGGAATAGGAGGCCTGGGCCGCCTCCTCGTGGAAGCTGCGAACTAATGCTCGCTTGGAGCCTGAAGGTCACCATGCGTTAGGAACCGCTATGAGCTACTGCCACGCACTGCATTAGTCATTAGATGTCATTGGTCTTGTGGAAGCTTGCAACACCCAAAGGGTTGCAATTGAACCAACTTCTGTCCTCTTCGAAAGTCCACAGACGACAGCAAAGCCACCTGTGGCCCAAGCGCTGCCACATGCTACTCTTGGCGGAATGAGTGAGTGCGGGGGGAGTTAGGGGTTTGCAGATTTGCATCCGAATGCGGTACGCATGAGCTCTACGGAATCTACGCCTTATTGAGATGTGTCTGATGTGTGCTGGGCATTGCTAGGCACTCGAATAGCCTTCCTCCTACGTCGGAAGAGCTTCTGTTGGTTTGGAGGCCCAAGCGATCCACCTAGTATCATTCCATATTATTCCTCATGCCGCAACTTTGACATTCCTCAAGTTCTGGGCTTTTTCAAAAGCCTTTTTCTGACGAGCCAGACAATTTCTTTTTGGCCTCACTTGGACCCCACTGCTCGAAGTGCTCTTCCTTTGCCGTGGCGCGTGTCTGCCTGGGCACGCAAGTTGGGGCAAGGAAGGGACCTGTTCCCCACACTGCTGCATGTATGCCGGCCCCTCGAGGCCCTTGTTATACAATCGAAGTACCAAACTTCCTGTCACTCCCACATACTGTGGTCCTGAAATCCCAACCCTACAAGCCTGAACCCTGCATCCTCCCAGCCTCCCGACCCCAAATCCTGATCACGAAGCGCACGCGAGAAGCCAAAACTCAAACTGAGTCAGCGCTAAAGACTACTTGTACTTCTAAGGTCAACCCCTTACTTAGCCAACGACACAATTGGGAAAGAGCACACCAAAACCCCGGCCTGTGAAGTGCTTCTTCGGCCTTCAGGCGTCGCTCGGCACCCCGCAACTTGAGCCGCGGCGGTGCGGAGAGCACCTCAGAACAGGGCAATTCGTCGCTCACGCACACGGAAGGCTTCTCATGGCTTCTCTGTCTTTCTTAAAAGGGTCGCGTGCTTCGACTCTCCCAGCTATAGCACAAGCAGGCGAGGCTCTTGGCTCAGCTTGGTCAAAGGAAGCCAACTGTCGAACATGAGGAAGTGTCTCGATGGCTCAACTCTAATTCTTCCCCCCCCCCCTCCCTGATCCACAATTTTCCCAATTGGACTTCTGAAGTTTTGGCTCAACTGCATGTCTCTTTCTAAGCTTCCAACCGGCGAAGCTTCATGATATGACACTCACTGCCAAGCGGCACTCGGATCCCTGTGGGAGCCCATGCAGAAACCCAACGGTGCAAAACCTGGAGCACGGATGAGTGGCAATGCGGCAAAGCAGATCAGATGGCCCGTTACAACAGACATAGTTAGACGGATTAACTACTGATTCATTCCTGCAATCAAAGAGAAGTACCATTTGACCTCTGCATTGCTTGTCCCAGCGTCTATCGTCAAGCGATTGCAGCGGGATGTGTACAGACACGCTCCCCTCATCCTGGGTGTCCACGTGCGCGTTTTGCGCAGGTGCACCAGGGTATACGGTGATGACCATTGCGCTTTCCAGCCTTTGCTTCATGACAGCTCGGGTGCTACATTGAGGTGTATAATTATAAGCGAACTACGTACACCCCAGCGCAGGGTTAGCCTGATGTTAGCCTGTTCTGCTATGTTTGGGATACAGCTCATCATCGCTGTGGTGATGATGGAATTTCTGCGGCCATGCTGCTGGCACTCTTCTCCCAGGTACCCCGTCAGTGTCTCCCGCAGAATGTAGTCTCTTCCCAGGATCCGCAGGGTGTCGAACGGCTCCTGTCGCGCCGGCATGCGTTCTCATCCGTTGATCCATTACTGCGGCCCATGAACTGGACGGCATGACAAAAAGATGTCAGATACGTCAGTCTTCGTCTCTCTACTCAGAGGTCAGACCTGACCTGAAACGGCAGGTGCGTCGGGGCCCGCTCACCGCGAAGCTGACCAAATTGCAAGACCTGGGCACACCCTCTTTAGACAGACCAGATTTCAACCTTGAGTTCAGTGTACTGCTGCTGCCAAATCTCACGTACTTGTCGAATAAATTCAGGGCTTCTTGCAGCTAGGCATCCTCATCTCTGAAGGTCTCATGCAAACCTGAAGAGTAGGAGACATTTTGCATTGGGGGAGGGGGGCTGATGTAGCTGATGCTCGCAGCAAGAGGAAGTAGACGAGTCCTAACCATCAGCCACATTCCAGTCGTCCCTCCTGTCTGAGCGCGTGGCGCCAAAAAGTTTCCCGAATCTCCTGCAGCTCTTCCGCCTTTCGCCGCAAACGAAGAATGTCACTGCAGTATACTGTGGCCACGCGCATGGCTTCAGCTCCTACTTAGTTTAACACTTAACAGCGTCAAAGCATTGTGCAGCTGGACGTCATGCGGCTCCACTTTGCAATTCCTTAAGCTTTCACAGTTGGCCTCGAAGGCATCAGGGATCATCGCCACTCCTTGCGAGCGCAAGACCTCAAGCGGCGTCTCCTGTCAAAGCACCAAAATAGCAAATAAACGCATCCGTAAAAACTTCTCAGGCCCTCCTGCAAAGAGCTTGACGATTGCGCCCAGGATAGTCAGTGTAACAACAACCGAATCCGAAGCCACCAGCAGCAGTCGTGATTCTGCACTAGAAGTTCAGGGGTTCCCAGAACGCAGGCAGCTTGTTCCAGACAAACGCATTGACCGAAAAGATCAGGCCAAGGGCAACGGCTCTCAGAAAGGGTCTTAAGGGGGCCGCTTGTGAGGCCCTGGCGAGGTTCATGTTGTGGGCGTGGTGCCCTTCCCTAGCCGGAAGAGCCAAAAAAATTAGCAATCCCCCGGGACGGCACGCAACGCGCCCTGGACTGCTCCGGAACGCGGGCTATGTGTGGTCAGACATGGACCTTCAGAACGTGGGGGCGGGGGGGGGTAGTCAAACCCTACCCCCCCCCCCACCCGCCG